ATGTCAATATTATTTTGTTTTCGATTAAAAGTACACCGACAAACCAATAAAACTATATACTTAAACAGATATTATAACAATAATAATAATATTATTATAAAAACGACGACGTGGTATTAATAATAATAATAATAAACAATAATTTGTATAGCATAACATGACGTTGTCGGTTTTTGGTAGAACGGACGTCGGCGAAAGCGAGTACTCGACTCGGCCGTTGCGAGTGCCGAGTAGTTCATATACACTAGACGGGGTGAAAATGCGTCACCGACGGTAACCGACAACCGTACAAATAGGGTAGCCCCCCTCCCGCGCCTGGTGCGGTATGGAGGTGCGACTGACGTCATGCGCCAGTCGTCTGCCGCACGATCRCAATTACGGTGGAATCGTGTGAGGGTGGCGGCTCGGTCGACGGAGGGACGGCGCGGCGCCCCCTGAAAGCTTTTCACCGATCCGTCAGCCACGATGACGACCTCGACATTGACATTTCCCATTAATTCCGCCGGTGCCCGCCAATAATATACTTAAATGGCAAGCGCTGTCGCCGGAAAACACTGTGCTTTCTGGACGAGCTAACCTAAATTAAAATTTGAACGAGTCGTTCCTGATTCGGCTGGGCGCGTACCATCGGCATCACAACTCATAGCTACCACGCGCGATTATGCTCAGATATATGTTTGTATTGGTCTTGGTCACTATTCCGCACCTCTGCAACGACGATGGGCAGTAAAGCTATATTAACTCGGCCGAGAAAACASCAGGAACCGAAAACCCAGAAATTCGAAGGTGCCGATAGATTTCAACACGTTACCCCCTCCCCCTCCCACCAAAAAAAGAACTAATTTACCAAGTACCTATATCAACGGACACATTGGTCGTACCGGATGCGTGCATACATAAGATTACGAGTACAGCGTTATAGTGTTGAATTACACCTCAAACGCGGTTTATTCAGACAGAAGAAAAATTTAAATTCAAAATTATATCAACTTTATTATTGTCATACATAGGTTGTAAAAATGTRTTAAAGTATTATKTAAATTGTCGAAACTAAATTGTTTTTACCATTTATGACTCAAAAAGTAATAATTAATAATAAGTTAATGAACAGTTCGGTTCCGATTGTCGTAATGTGCCCACGTTAGTTTATTAGCAGTATGCTCGCCGCTCTCTTATCTAATCGTATCCTCTTTTACGGCTTCGACAATAATTCATATAAATCAAGTTATTATGTCACGGCAACCTAATGTGGTTTCTTCCAAAATTACGAACTAAAGAAATCATTCTTATCAGCCCGACGACTTGCGTACGTTATGCGTAGTAATACGAAATCTCCACCCATCCACTGCACACGAAGACATTATTGCCGGCCTTTCAGAATTGGGTCACCATGTCACCAACGTACATAATAATATGTAATATGATAATATTATCATAAAGCGTTTTTCGGAMAAAACGCCTTGGCCACTTTTCTTCGTCAACGTTAAAAAAGCTACCAATAACTATGATATATTTAAGGTTAAGTTCCTTCTTAAGAGGACGCCACACCCGCATGTGTTGTCTCCGTCTTACAAAACGTGTAACATAGCAAAATCTGTTTAGCGCGGGACAACTTTACTCCCTTTGTATTGATAGTAGAATTACCAAAATTCCACAACGTAAAGGGGAGAATATTATCTGTGCAATAGCGTCGTTATTTTTTTGATTACTTAAGTACACTTTAAGTTATCAGTTTGAGAACATAAGTGTTTTGATTAAATTATTAAAAATTATTGGTTAGTGCTATCAAAAAATAACGAGGCTGTTGCACAGATAATATTCTCCCCTATACGTTGTGGATTTTTGGTAATTCTACTATTAATACAAAGGGAGTAAAGTTGTACCGCGCTAAACAGATTTTGTTATGTTATACGTTTGTAAGACGGAGACAACACATGCGGGTGTCGCGTCCTCTTAACTCAACAATAATTGTTGTCGAAAAACCTCATACACAAAAGAGCATTCCACAATGTCATAATATTGTCAGTCTTACGGTCACACCAGGAAATATTATAACCATGACCCACGATGTGTGAAATGTGAAGAAGAACACAACTAGGATTCCTGTACCAAGTCACGCGACTCTCCGCCAGATGTGCCTTACGCAAGGGCAACCACACCGCCAATTACAAAGGCTACCCCGATTATACAAATCTTAAACGTCCTATACCTCCAATTAGGCGAGAGCCCCCCCCCACACCTACTCCTTCTCCTAAATACAATTCTACCAGAGTCGCTTCTGGTACCACTCAGCCGTCTTATGCACAAATCGCTTCATCCGGTCAAAATCTTTCTCGACCTTCTTCAAGGATCGAAACTTTGTTAACCTCATTTATCTCCGAATTCTCGAATATCATAATACATTTGGAATTGCTTATAATTGTGACTTRCCTACTTAATAGTGAARTAAGAAGCGAAAGGAGGGGTTTTATGATATTCGARAATTACTTCACTATTAAGTAGGTAAGTCACAATTATAAGCAATTCAAATTACTACTATTCCAAATATATCTACTCCCGTAATCACGCTATACCACATTGCAGTTAACCATCTTTTCTTTATCTGAATATTAATTATTTCTTATATTTTGTACGTCTATATCTATATTTTATATGGTCTCATCGTCATCGAATGTTCAAATAAAAAAAAAAAAAAAAAATTAAAAAAATACTACCTATTAATATTAATTATCTTTTGTGCTGTACATCTTGACTGCTATATGTTCGTTATCTATATCTATATCATTATTACTACTATTACTTTTATTATCATTTATATATCATTACATAATATGTATCCCTAATATTGTAATAATTRTTGAGCCATAATAGTTTATGACTATAATGGCTAATGAAAAAAGTTATTTAAATTCTTTTTTTAAAGGAAAAAAAATTATATTACAAAGGTACTTATGGGTATGTATTTACAAAATACAATAAACAAAAATATTTGATTTGTTTGAGAATATGTATTTAATTCGATTAATGATAAATGAAATCAAACAAAATGAAATTATAAAACCTCTAATCAAGTAATACTTATTACCGGTCTTACCATTACCTTGTGCCAAGGTACAAAAATGTATCATGRGTTGGAATATTTTAAAGTTTTCAAAGTACTATATAATGTTATACATTTTTATAACTCTCAGTAATACACTAACACCTGATTGGGCTGATTGATATAAATAAATGCTTTTAGATGCACCTAACTAGATGCTTGGGTGTTCGTATTACACTATTACCTAATCGCGATCGTTAACGATATATAAGAATGTGTCATCACAAGTACTGTTGAAACTTGAACATCAGTACTTAAGTACTGGTGACTTATTTATTATTTGTACTCCATATAGTTATGACGTAAAAGTTAGTGTCAATTTTTTTAAACTGTTTATTAGTTACTTTGAATTGTTTAAACTAATTATTACGATCGTAATATTATGTGATACATTCATTGTATCATCTAGATCGCTTACGTTTTCTGTTACACGTCATTCAGTCTGCAGTTATAGATATCGTATTATCATAAGAATCTTGAATAATATATAGATGAATATTGTCCAAAATCCATTTAGGGACAGGGTGCTTATGGACTTCCCTAAAGACCGTAAATGCAATTTRATTTACTTAATACTTACCTACTAATAGCAATCATCATTCATCTAGTGACCTTTTCTCGATTGATTACTTAGAACAATGATCAGAGACGTATTTAGGAATTTTATGTCCCAGGTAAGAAAAAAACGCCCCTTCCAACCAAAACTTCTTTAGTAATAGGTGTATTTGTAAAAAAAAAAACATGATAATTTATTAGTTTCTGAGTGRTATTAATCTTTTTTCACCTAAATGACCTAGGTCATATCAAAATGCTCTCCAAAATTGAGTGCCCCTAAAAATTTAAAACTAGAAGCTTAAGTCCTTCTAAATACATTACTGACGATGATATTAAAAATTCATAGTAGGTATTGTCGGAGTATGATACATATTATAAACAACCGTAATTGCGATTATTTCAAGCTCCATTATACGTTTTCATTACAATTTTTTAGATAACTATTGTCTATTAAAAAAAATGTTAAGCAAAACTCTTGAAACAGTCGAAAAGTATCATTGACATATCACATATTTGAATCTTTATTTAATTGGAAATCTATAAATAGTAGTTGGATATCAAACATTTGAAAAGCTACTCTTCTAAGTACTAAGAAAAAAAAGTGTAGAAGCCAAAGATGCAGAAAAAGTCAACAAATCTGAACTATAAAATTACAATCGTTTGGCTCAGAATAATATATTAATATAAATGTTCGTAGTCCGCAGTCAGTACAGTAACACTTTAGGTATCATAAGAATTTTCAGYATCRGCCGTCGGGAATACCTCCCGTAATATATTATGTATTCCAAGATGTATAATACTTTCATTTGTTGTATAATAATATTTGAAGATCGATATTTGTTATTTACTAACACCTTTACTCGAMYAGATATATGAATTTTATAAAATTTATTTCTCAACATCGGTGAATCGTCATGAAATTACCATGCAAATAATTGAATGACTTGTAATTTTATTTTTAAATCACGGATACACACAGACTCGTAACTTATTTCCTGTTCCATTATAATATGGTACACCGCTAGTTGTTCWGCAGTAATTCGAGTAGGAACTACAATAAGTCGTACCAAGGTCCAATTTACATGAAACTAACCATGTGTCCAAGTTAGCTCTATGCATTGTTCGGGTAATAATTCCGAAATCGAATACAAGAGTTATATATTAAAAATAGGTTATGTGGAAATGTTTAAGGTAAAAAAGTAAAAAAATAAATAAAACAACATATAGAACAATAAAAAATAATATTTTATTAAATAAGGATTTTTTTACAAATCAAAATGTAAAATACATTTTTCTCTTCCGGCACTTATACAATAAAATAGACTTAAATAGAATTAATTTTGTTTTGCGTACAGACAGAAAAATATAAATAAATAAACAAGGTAAATCATAAAGATAATTTAACATTTTTTTGTAATACAGCATAATTTTGCAAGACATTTTTAAGTACAAGTTTTTTGAAGTTCCAAAACAATTAGGTATATTAATACTGTGTACAATAATTAGTCTATCAATCAGTCTAATTCAATGATTTGTTTTATTGAAAAAAAAACCGGTGATAAAATTTATTTTGGTATCAGACATTGACATGGCAGGAAAATAACTTAATAAAATAAAAAGACTAGTTTCTTCTTTCATCAAAATATATAGTTAAACGTAACAAATATTTTTGACTATTGTATTTCAAAGGACAAGTTATTATCACATTCAGTATTGTAAATTGTAACTTATGGTTTCTAGACAAGTAAAGTTGTTATGGTTGTTTGGGCGCCACCAAAAATAAATTAATAAAATTTAGGTATGAGTTAATGATGTAGTTTGCTATGAACAATTTAAATCAAATTTATGATATCCACACATTTTCAAATAAAAAAATGAATGGTAACATAGTTTCTAATTACAAGAGAATGAATTTAAACTTTATTAAATTAATACCATTGTTAAAATTAACATGATTCAAGAAATAATTGGTTTTAGATGAATAATTGCATTACACGAGAGTTGTAAGTTAATTAAAATTATTATAACGGTTTTTTCACTTTTTTTTTAAAATTTAAAGTGAATAATTCAGAATTAGTGATGAGGCGCCCAATGTAATAATAGTATTTTTTTAAGCCAACTCCAAAACAATAACAGTTTTTATTTTCATGTTTTAGTAAACCCTATTTACCTAGATAAATAAAGATAAAAGCTGAATATCTTAAAAAAATAGTAACAAACGTATCACAGATTATACATGGTTGATTAATTTTTACCTATTATAAACAAAACAGAGTATCAGACTTAACTTACCAACCCATTAATATAATTTTTTCTTTATGATACAACGTAACAGCCTAATGAACATCTAACAAATTTAAGTACAGTCTATCATTGAGTATCCAGGAAGGACATATTTTGCCCCTTACAAACAAAACTACATTAAAATTATTTGCAAAAGAATACATTTTGTGATATGGTATTTTGAATTTTATTTGGTCAATCAGACTTATGGAGTGCGAGTTATAAATTATTGCAGCCAAAATATTCTATATAAATACTTTTCAATACATCTTAAAAATATTTAATTTTTGATATTTTATAAAAAAAAGCTTTTGAATGAAATTTTACCCCCAAATTACATAGATATTGATATAATATTATATACATTAATTTATACACTAAAGTAGGCGGGTTGGTAAGAAAGAACAATAAGAGCCTAACACAAGTAATTTATTTTAAATCTTGCCTAGAATCCTGTTGGATTTAAATAATATTGATTTTATATTTGACAMTATCAGAGTATCATAAATTTAAAAAACCCTCATTTTTTGATCACTGTTAATGCATCAAGACATTTTCAACAATAGTATAATACATTAAACATTAAGGTTATTAGACCTTGTCCCCTATTGATTGATAGGCTTAAGTTATAATTATTCGGGCATCTTCTTTATTTTTCAAATAGTATAGTATTCATAAAGAACTAAAAAAATAATATTAAAAATAAACCATAATGCTGAGATAAGCCATAAGCTGTCAATATTAATATTTACATAATATAAAATGTAACTAATATTTTTTTTATATAATATAGGCTAGGTATCAACTTAAAATAGGCTATTATTTATACATTTTTTAGAATACTTTCTATTATTAACCAAACACACRACGCATCCATTTGAAAAAAAAAGTCAGCATTTTAATAGAGATGCGACTCATGTAATAAATAATTTATTATTCTAAACAAAGTGCCGGCACTTACCCTTGCACACAAGAGCACACTATAATTTGATGCAGGTTTTCTTGACTTTTTACGGTTTATTTCGTCATAGTGCAATATTGGTGCCCAGTGGACAGGACGTGACCATATTGGATACTGGCCGGCTTTTTGCTGATCTAGTCAGATTTGGTACTGACCGTTGATGGTCGTCACCTTTGGCCATATCTCAGGATCTTCTCCTCGCAATATCCTTGCTGGATACGGTTGATGTGCTATCTATAAAACACACATAAATTCTATTGTTAGAATAAAGTCTYTAGAAGTTATTCAAATTGCTTATGTTAAAATATATTGTATAAACTAGAGGAATCTATGAATAAGACCAGACTCAGTTGGTGGTAAATAATACAACCATAGAGTAGATTATATTATTTTAGATTTAATATTAACATCAATAAGACTTATAAATGGTTGCAATATTAATGATTTTTTTTTTTTACTTTCAGAAGCTTTACAAGTAACACTAGTGCATACCAACAACAACAACAACAATGTGTTTATATTAATTTTACAAAGAAGAAGGTTAAATTGTCATCATACATAGGTGAATAGCATGCATGAGAATACAACRAAATTCAGGTCATAAAAAATACAATGAACATTGGGCCATTAGTGTTGAACATAGGGTTTATCGGTGACACAGCAAACAGACCATGTAAAAGTTTAATCGTCACAAGCTAATTACTAATAATGCATTTACCCCAAAGGGAAATATGCTCAGAATAGCAAACAAGACAGATAAACACCTATATATCGACAATTGTCTTAATGAAACACGACAAAGCCTGATGGACGCACCGGGTTTGAAACAAGCAAACTCGACATTCCTCTCAAGCCGTTCCTCCGGAGATGGGTCACGCAGGGCGTATAGGGGTTGGGATTTTTTTTAATCTAGATGCTGACACTCACTGTCTTTGGACTTGGACGTTAGCGACCGTCTGAGCTTGTCAACGAGCTTCGAGTGGAACATGTTCAGCGACGACGTGGACGACACCTTGGGCGGCGACGAGGACGACGACGAAGACTTGGCGGGGCTCTGCAGGCTGGACTGCGAGTTCCGGGACGAGTTTCTGGACGCCACCCCGTGGTGGTGCTGCTGACTGCCGTGGTGAAAAGCTGTCTGCCTGGACACGCCACCGAGCGACCGGTGCGCCGGCGAGCCGACCATAAARTCGCTGCCGGGCGACGTGGACAGCGACGGACCGTCGGCCGACCGGGAACCGCTGTGCAACCGCCTGGTGCCACCGCATGACGAAGCTGACGAGCCGGACGTCTTGTCGTTRGAGCACTCGGAAACGCGTCTGTTCCGGTTCGATTTGTAAATATTGTAATCGTTTTTCACAACAGGCATCATGAAAGCCATAATTTTTATATTGTCCAAGTGTCAGGAAAAAGAAAAAAATAATAACAAAAAATAAATATGGAATCGACAAAGAGTTTTATTCTTCGAAGCGAACGATTTTCTAACAAGTTCGACAGATTTCCGTCCAACAATCGTAACACGATTTTTCTTTTATTCCGTTTGTTAATACTTTTTTATTTCACTTTCCGTATGCGTATTGTTATTCCAATACGAYTTGAATCATTAATAATTATTACGAGTCGTTATGCGTATTGRACCGATAAAATTATTTAAATTATTATCATCAACTCACACTAAAAGATTGTTACCGGTATGCACATCAGTCGGCAACTGGCGGGAATTTATAAATTCGATTTCGGATAAGGCCGTATATTATGTTTATATACGCGCGCGTTTATATCTAGAGAAAAAAAAAAACAAAACGTTTCAGTAACGATACTGATTTCGTTTCTCTATTTTACTCCACTGGACGAATCGAACGTTAAGAACGGTGCGCGAGTCGTGACTATGTGCAACGCAATGCAACGGAATGAGAATCACTTTGGCCGTGTGACCTTTCCGCCGTGCGTGCGGGAGTTACCACCTCCACCGCAGTCGCCGACGCCGCACCATCAGCACCGCACCGCACCACACCAGCCACACCGCCGCACCGCTGAACCCGCCATACCATAAACCCGGCCCTCTTCACCGCCACACCGCGGCTGGGTTCGTTTCACCGCCGCGCCATCTCCCACCGATCGGACAACGTTACGAAACTCGTCCCGCCGCCGCCGCCGTCGGTGGCCTCGGGGACGCGTCGGTTACACCGGTCGGTCGGCGTCCTAAAACCTGATCGGTTATGGTGGGCGGGCGAGGGGCATTAGGCATTCGTCGTCTGGATGTTATTGATCCGAACCGTCCCCGCGGCACTCTTCTCGCCGCTGCACCAACCGCCGACTCTGGCGTACGTGCGTGCGTGCACGTGTGGCAACCGCTTATACCGCACGTCCCCACACCGTCGTCGCAAACCAACGGTTTTCTCTACCCTCCTCCGCCATTTCGGGACGGCGGCAACGTTTTTATGACGAGACGACGGGTCTCGCCCTCCCGTTCAACCGCACCGCCGTCGTACCGTGGGGGAATATTGTCGGCTGCATTGCRGTCCCGGTGCTGGCAGATGGCGCGACACGTACGCGCGCGCCGATCACCACGGCGAACCGAATTCCAGTGGTTCCCAAACTCCAGAACGTTAACCGTCGCCATCGTCATGTCCGACGACGGCGTTGGCTGTACGTCGAATATTCTACAATATTCCACTCGTACAAGTACAATATTATTATTATTTTATATTATTATCATCGTCGCTGTCGTCGCCGTTGTAATGTAATTAAATATGTCTGCATATTATTATTATTTTATTATTATTCGTTTTTCGTTTACTTGTCYGTGACTCGCAGCATACTCATCATTATGGTGGTTTTTATCGGAGACTCRGAGCATGTCGTCATCGTCGTCGTGCACGTCCGACGAACGATGCGGAAATCATTGGATTTTTGCCTATCGTTTCCATCGAGTACTGTGCTCGAAAAAACGTTATTGTTACTAGCGTGTAGGAGCACGAGACGCCGTCGTGAAAAATAACCGTCCGGTCGCCATTTCCGGAGCAAAATCGGAAAGAGTGACACGTCACGGTGTATTCTGCCGTTGACCCCGCTCGTAGCTATATAATATTATTTTAATAGTACGTATTACGTTTGAATAATATTGTATAGGTATCGTGGCCGTGTCGTTTCTCGGCAAAACGGTCTCTCGCTCGTCGTACGTATTATATCACGACGCGAGATTCTTAGTATTATTATTCTTAAATATAACGTTGTTCATACTCAAACTTAATAGTAATAATAATTTTAGTAATGTTACGATATTCATGACAGGATACCTAACGTTCCTGCACGAATTTTTGAGAAAACAATTAAAATCGTACGCGACTCTAGGACAGTCTCAGTAGTACGTGTCTTGACCGCATTTATTTACAATTATATTATACCTACGACGTGGATATAAAATACATAAAAATAATTATTTTATTATTGTTAATATTTTTGTCGTCCATGTTTTCACGGATCTATTACTTTCGTGTTCGATWCTTCGATATTGYACGACGACCAAACGAGAATTAGGTCGTCGTCGAGAACGAATATAATATATTTTTCTCGATCCGCTCCGTTCGGGCGGACCGCCTTTTTACTGTCTACGTGTCAATCTAACGAATTTCCGATTTCATCCGCCTCGCCAACGTTCCACATAACACTTTTATATCATTATTTCTATGAAAACTATTCTTACGGTGTTGATAGTTGATACGTATTATATTATTATTATTGTTACTATCGTAACGATCATACACAAAGCCAAACTCAGATCCATAAACCCGTAAACACGGGGGGAAAGTTTAATAATTATTATATAAAAGTAAAAGTATCCGATAATAATGTCCAYCGACTAATGAATGTGCTCACGCACAGCATTATGACGGTATAGTAAGGACTTCAAGAATATATCCTCTAAATTTGCGATACGAATGATGAGAGCAGGTGCACATTTTCGTTGCTTTCTGTAAATAAAATGTATTTATGAGCGATATGAATGATTATTAAACAAAATATTATGGTAGCAATGGCGAAGAAATATGCCCGCCGGTATTTGTAATATTATATTAAACATCCATAATCTATATGAAACCCAACATATATTTTAGCACTTATATTATTACTTGGCCTTTTTTCATTTTTTTTTTAAATGTTTTTTTTCTGGATAAAATATAAATACCGATAAATATCTGTAATATTCTTTGAATAGGGTCTGCGGTGGTGTCGTGGTGACGCAACACACGACTACTGCTTCGGTCATACTCATATTATAATGTGTATAATAAATAATAATACAGTTCAAATTATTATGTGACTAATAATATTGTTAATATCGCTATAAAATTATTAAGTAAATAACACGCAGACCATGAGTTATATCTCCGGACCCCGGGGATATTGCTTTATAAAATTACAAATATAAACATATTGAAATACCCATACAACTATAAAGGTGTACGGTGCTACGGTGAAATGTGTGTTTGCGAATGACATAAATAATTGATGTCTGGGAAAGTGGGAAATAAAATATTACGATGTGCATGAATAGAACTCTGGGAAATAAAAAAAAAATACTATGTGCTCAATTTGGGTCACCATGGATTCAATTAAAAGTGACGAAACGATATRGTATACTACGCACTTATATACCTACGTATTGTACTTGTGCTTTAGTCAGCCAATAATTTGTTCCATTTACATAACATAATAATTTATACTATAAAATACCAATAAGTATTATTATTATTAATATTATTACCGTAATATCAAAAACCGAGATTTCGATTTGCCGCATTCCCATTCTTATTAATAAAACATATTATCTAACGCCATCGGTATCGTCCAGGATTCTRGCCACCGAACTCATATACGAGTAATTAAGTGAAAAAAAACTGACAAGTGAAATTGTAAGATTAAAAAAGTGCCCACGTGTCCCTACTCGGCATCGTCGGGCGGGGCGGAGCCGGTTTACATGCGAAAGTACCGATTTTTGCATATTTTTACATTAATCGTTTTGGCAGAATTTTCGGTCGTGTACGGAAAAAACAACATACTTGACGGGAAGTGACGAGCTACCATGGGCGAGTGACGAATAACTCTGTGGCGGATATATACATTATACAGCGTATACACAGTTCACACAGTGATAATGTTAATATACAGGGTGTAACAGAAAGACCTGACAATTCATCGTATGACAATTTTTTTTTAAATATTATATAATGAATAAATAATTTAAGAAATATATTCATGTCAGCAAATTTTCAAATTCTAAAAAATAAACTACTTGATTTAGATAAATCTTTTTACCATCAAAWTTKTTTTTATAACCAGATTCATAAATAGGCTATTTTGAATTTATCCAACATTTTTTTAATTAAATTAATTTTTTTTATTTTCAGTACTAAAAAAT